GGCCGGCCTGAGCAAGAGCGAGACCCCGTCTCTACTATAAAAGAGAAAGAAATGAGCTGGACGACTAAAAATATATAGAAAAAACGAGCCGGGCGCGGTGGCGCACGCCTGTCGTCCCAGCTACTCGGGAGGGAGGCCGAGGCAGGAGGCTCGCTGGAGGCCGGGAGCTCAAGACCAGCCTGAGCGAGAGCGAGACCCCGTCTCTGCTTAAAAAAAATAAAATAATAAAAATAAATGAGCTGGACGACTAAAAACATACAGAAAAAAAAAAAAGAGAGAGAGCTGGGCGTGGTGGTGGCACGTGCCTGTGGTCCCAGCCGCTACTCGGGCTGGAGGCTGAGGCGGGAGGCTGGGTGGAGGCTGCCGTGAGCGAGGCTGACGCCACGGCACGCGCTCCAGCCCGGGCGACAGAGCGAGACTCGGCCTCAAAAAAAAATTAGAGAAAATAGAAGACAGAGAAAGTTCTAGCGGGGACCCGCCGGCCTCTGCCCGGCGGCGTGATTTTTCGGCGCCTCCATTGAACGAGCCACGCGGTGCTTTTGTCCGTGGAGGCTGAGGCTGCTGCCGGAGGGTTTGAGCCCCTGGGGAGTGCTAGGGACGGACTCCAGAAAACCCAGTGGCGCTCCACAGAGCCTTCCCTTGCCTCGGGCCTCCCATCCCCAGCTAGCTGGGACGGACAATGGCGCCTCCAGAGACGGCCACCGGTTTGGTTTTTTTATTTCATCTATAATTTCATGTTGTCCAGCTCCATTGTCATTTCCCTGTATTTTTTTGTTTATTTTTTTATTTGTAAGGATAGAGACAGGAATCTCGCTACTGTGCTAATCAGGACTGGCCATCCAACTCCTGGCCTCAGAGCGGAGGTCTGAGCCTCCGCCATCGGCCTCCCAGAGGGCATGGAGATATGACAGACAGGCAGCAACCACCACGCTCCCGCACTGATTTTTTGATGTAATATTTTAGTTGTCCAGCTCATTCGTTCTATTTTTTTTTTTTAGTAGAGAACGGGGTCTCGACTCATAGCTCAGGTGGACCTCCAACTCCTGGACCTCGAGCGATCCAACTCCCGCCAATCCTAGGACCTCCCAATGTAGCTGGGATTACAGTCTGTAGAGCCTTCTTTCCACAAGCTAATTTTTTTCATAATATTTATTTTTCATTGCCAATTTAATTTCTATGTTTTCAGTCTGAGGCAGGGTCTCCGCTGCTTACTCAGGCTGGGCTCGAACTCCTGCCATCGAGCGATCCTCCCGACCTCGGTCCTCCCTCCCGAGTAGCTGGGACTACAGGCGTGCGCCCTCCACGCCCGGCTCGTTTTTTCTCCCTATTACATATATGTTTACTTGTCCGGCTCATGGTTCTTTGTAATTTTTTTTTGTTCAAGTAGAGACGGGATCTAAGCTCTGGGCATCAGGCTAGGTCTCGACCCTCCCGGACCTCCAGCCGATCCTCCTCCTCGACCTCCTCCCAGAGTGCCAGAGGTTTACGGCAGGTCCGGACCCGGGGGTGTCGCCTGCACCGGGAGCACGTTCCACAGAG